TTAAGACAATTACTCTTATGCATTTGCTAACAGATAAAGAAGCATACCTCAGCACAGAACACATCCAAAGCAAACCCATTGAAGCAGCTGATCACCGCCTGCTGGATGTCCAAACCAAGGTTGTCCAAGGCCCTCATAGCAGAGAGCAAGAGCCCTGGTCTACGGGCACAAAACATGTGGATATTAACAGTTCTTCCTTCCCTTACCCGAACCTCCACCTGCAAGATGCAGTGGCCCAAAAGTTATAACTTAAAGCAAACTTCTTAATCATACATTACATACCCTTTACAGAAATGTATTAGTTTTGCATGAGGTACCAAGCAAAGAAGAAACCTACATTGCATTATACTTTGACAATTGAAGTGTATTTAGGAGTTCGGAATTACACTGCAAATGTACATGCATCAAACTATTAAATCAGGTGAACAAAATTTACCTTTGCAGATTGACCTTGGGGGCTTGGAAAGGAGCTTGGGCAGAGCTCTTCTTTGACATGGCAGGGAAGGGTGGGTGGAGTGGGCGTCAATGGTTGAAAGCATGATGAAGGTGGCAACAAGGAGCCAGGTGGGGCAGACTCCAGCTCGTTATGGAGGTCATTAATCCTTTGTAGAAGCTCTTTCAAATAATCAATTGCATCCCCTAATATGGACGCCCTATCCATCTGCATACATGACAAAATAATCAGAAGGAATTCTGACTGAAAATAGAGAAGCCATAAATCACAAAAAGGAACTTGAAGCCCACAAACAATGGCCGCAACTAAGGCACTCTAGAATTGTCATTGTTCCAGGGGAAATAAAATATCCAGAGCCACTGAATCTGCCATATACATTTACCAAAATCTTAACTTTCTTCAAGACCGTGTTGACAAATTGTTCATTCCTTCTATCTTATGTAAACCACTAACATGTTGTTCACCATCAAGATTTCTTGCAGTTTTCAGGCAAAGAGAGGTAAAAAGAAAAAGAAATCTGCTAAAAGAGAGCACATCTCATAGCTCTTCCACTAAAAAAAGAAATGTGCACAATATCACATCCAATCATTTCTGAACCATCTAAAGAACAATTAAGATTATCCTCAAAGCCTTTTAAACGGCCACTTCAAATAAAAACGATAGAACAAGGAACTCACGGGAACCAGGTGCATGAATCTCAAGCCAAAAGTAAAATTAAAAGGACGATAGCAGAAAAGAAAGCACAAAGAAGGAAAAAGGCAAAAATAAATTACGGGACAACCAAGGTCCTACCTTGCTTATCTTGGGTACAACAGACCTAAGCATGTAGAGCCTATCATTGAGCTTCTTCCTCCGCCGCCTCTCCGCCATCAGATTTTTCGCCGGTAAACCCTTCTTCTTGCCCTTGCGGTCTCCGTCAATACCAGTGACTGAGCTGTTGGCGTTAGAATTGCTTCCAGCATTCTTCACATTCTTCACATTCTCCTCCACTTGACTATACTCATTAAACTCATCCGAGTCATAATTCAAACCAGACGCATCCATACTCCCTTCCTCAATTTCACCCTCCACGTTCTTCTTCCTCTTCCTCTCCAAACTTTCCAAAACTCCTCCGTATCTGGGCCCCGAAATCTCCAAATTCCCCAATTTATCGGTCCCGTCACCGCCGGAGTTTTGACGAAGCGCCGCTCGCTTCTGAAAGAGAGTGGGATGAGCACCCACGGGAGGGAATACGTGAAGGGGTCTCAGTGGCTTAGCCCTGTTGAGTAGCTGAGCACCCCCAGAGCCATCGAAGCCTTGGAGGCTAGTAAGGCTAAAGTCGCCATCGAGCTCAGTGTCGTTGTTGGGCGCTGGCAGCAACCGAGTGGTTGGGAACTCGGCGCTCGAACTCAGTTCGGGAGTACCCATCTGAGACTGAGAATTGAGGGCCGTGAAACCCATCAAAGCAGAGGAATTGGAAGGTTGGTTTCCCTGGAAGGAGCTGAGCAAGCCACTGTCGCAGCCCAAATCGAAGCCATTGTCAAAAGGGTTGGTGGAGACGACGTTGAGGAGAGAAGAGAAGCAGTATTTTGGGGGGAACAAGTGTTGTGGCGGTGAAGGGTCGAGAGAGAAGACCTGAGAGGGAGAACAGGAAGCGGAGGAGTCCATTGGTTGCAGCATAAGTGTGTTTTCAGAGAAGCAGGCAATGTCTCTGATATCTGGCTGGCGGTGGTTAGGGAGGGAATGGAGGTCTTGGTGATGAGTTGGGTTGAGAACATTGTTCATGTACCAGTCACCTTCCAGCATCGATTTGAAGTTGGAAAAAGAAGCACCCAAGCTCGACTGTTGCTCGTTTTTGGGCTCTCCCTCGTTATTACTGTTGTTGTTGTTGTTGTTGCTGCTGCTTCTGGTCCAAGACGCCGCGTCATCTTCGTCTCCGCCCATCCAAACGCCGGACATCGGTAGCATGACTGTTTTTGTTTTCAGCTTTCCTTTCTCTCTTTTTCTAAAATAATGTATTGTAAGTTGCCCCAAAAATACAAAAAGGGCGGGGCTCAGTTATAGAGGTTTGATAGAAAACTAAGAAAAGGGTAGGAACTTTTGCTCAGACTGAGACCGAGAGCATCATTTTTTAGAATAAACGAAGGCAAACAGATTCCCAATGTTTTTTATTTGTTTCTTTTTTCTTTTCTTTTTTGCTGGGAAATCTTCAACTTTGAACGTTATGTTTTGTACTAGACTAGTCGCGACTCTCAGCTCAGGCAGGCCGCGGGGGGTGAAAATGAATATAGACCGCTGTGTGCTTATCTATTACGCGCTCGCTGCTTTGTTGGCTTGGATTTTGTTTGGAATTATGTTTAAGGGACTCCATTATTTATTTTGATGCGTGACAAAACACACAAAATTTACTCATAACACTTAAAAATAGGTAGGTTATTATAAGCTTGACCTTTTTTCCTTTATGCAAAAAGTAGCTACAATTTGTATAGGAGAATGGTGGTTTAAGTAGATAAAAAATACATAAGGAAATACACGAAATACATGTGATTATTTTCATAAGAAGTAACACTGTTCAAAAGAAGACAAAAGGTAGAACTGTACATTTTTTTTAATACAAGCGACAGTCTATACTAAAAGGGAGGGGAATTTCTTACACATACACAACTAAGATACTATGAGGGTTCGAACATAAGACATTTGGTATGCAAACCTAAGCCATTTTTCACTTATTTAGACACAATTAACAGAAGGGTAATTTAATATACATGAATCTCAAAACATTTTCATAAGTAGAGCACTTTCAGACTCTTAGTCATGCGGTTAACTTAGGTTACCAGAGCCCTCAAGAAAAGCCCAACCCAAACCGACATTTGTTAATCTTCCAATTTGAAAGGTAAATTACCGAATTAGCAAAGACAGAGTAAACCCAATCTAGCTTTGCTTAGCTATACCTATGTATATCACAAGAGAAGTGTTGGTGAAGAATTCATTTGGTGGTTAAAATACATGCTTCTTATTAGATTTAAAACAAGTTCCAACAATTTTGGTAAACCCTATTTGTAAATTGTATACTATAGTTTAGAATTGAATACATGGCGGGGCAGTCAAAAGTATAGTTGATCACGTGTACTACTTGAAATTTGAAGAATCAACAACAATTGTTCGTGTTTGTGTTCCATGCCTTTTTTTGGCTTTTGTGAAAAGGGAAGTAAAGAGAAAGATGGCGCTCTTCTCTTCATTTTAATTATTGACTAATCCAAGCCTCGCCGTCCTGGCTGCTTCTCGATAATACACCGTATGTATGTGTGTCACAGTGTGTGGGGAAAGATGTGAATATAAATAGGTTTACGTGGTCATAACCTGCAATGGTGTAGCGCGGCAGGTGGCAGCCTGGCACAAATGCGAAATGTGTAGAAGATTGGTGTGGCTTTTTGCGCCATGCAAATTGCAATTCAAAGTTGAAAAACATAAAAGCAGAAGACCAGTTTTAATTGGAATAAATTTTCCAAAAGGAACCCCAAGTTTCTCGTGATTGCTTTCTCTCGATTCACCACCGCTCCTATATCATATCTACACTTTGAAACTTGTGTATATCGATCGATCCAAGCCATGCCCATGCATATCATGCATCATGCATGCACATTTTGATATTATTATTAGGGCTATGATAATTAAGAAAGTGTTCTCTTGATTGCGTGGCTGACCGGAAGTTATAGAACAAGAGTCGTCTCTTGATTGATTCTTTGACTCTCATCTTCTTCTTATTACGATGGAATGGAAGAGTGACTCGAGCCCTCCGTCACAAGAACCACAACGACCACAATAAAATCTACGATTCCTCTCACTTCACGTGATCAGCAGACTAGTCTTTTAGTTTTTTAGTCTAGTCTAGTCTAGTCTAATCTTGTGTGGATAACTTGCCTACATACGTGGCACACATACATGCAACGCACCATTCATCCAGTTTCAGATTCAGATTCAGATCCATCCACCAATCCACCATCCACCATCCACCATGCAATGCAATTCCCAAATTCCCACGATTTCATTTTAATTTTAATTATTTCCTGCAAAAACAAAAAATAAATAAAAACAGTGAAATAAAAAATAAAAAGGTATCTGTCTGTCAAGTAAATTTGAACTTGGCGGTTTGCCCGACATGCATGTGGAGGAGACTGAAAAGACCCTCTGGATCCAAACGGTTTACGTACGTACAAATTACAATGTGCTTGTCAAGTAAATTAATTTGCGAGTTTAATTTGAACATTTCAATTTCAATATGACCCACGCCACCACCCCACGGAAGCCAAAGGCGGTGCTTCATTTTCATTTTTGAAACAATACTAATAACTAAGGAAAGGAAGCTGAGCTGCCACTGCCTGGCGGGTCCATCAAACACGACATGCTAGAACACTAACCACTACAAACTGTGAGCAGGGACCACTCCACTGGTGTTATTATTTGGATATATATTGGATGTTATCTGTAGTTGATGTGCCATATATGGTGGTGGCCCTCTTCCTAAACGACGACGATCGAGTCTATAGGCACGCACACACTGTCACACACAACTTGACTTTAATATTGGTGAAAGAAAGGTGATAATATACCCTATTACTTGTTACATAAAGCAATCACACAAATTGATCCGGAGGAGGGAAGCTAAGAGTTTTGAAGCAGGTAAAGCCTCCATCCACCACTAGGTTATGACCCGTCACATACTTTGCTTCATCCGACGCCAGATACACCGCCGCTTGCGCCACATCTTTTTCCTCACACTTTGCACCCTTCAGCTCCCCAACCCCATTCACAATCTCTATCACCTGCTCCCGCGTCGCACCCGGATAAAACTGCCCTATCTCCCGCACCGACATCTCCGTCGGAATCGGACCCGGCGATATGCAGTTCACTCGCACCCCACTTCGGCACAGCTCGCTCGCCACCGACTTCACCAGCCCCGGTATTGTAAATTTCGATACCGAGTAGGGGTGGGGCCCCAGCCCACCAAGGATCCCACTTATGCTTGATGTGCACAGTATGGACCCTGCGCCCGCAGGTACCATCACTCGAGCCGCATGCTTCATCCCTGCCACCGCACCACGCACGTTGACCCGCATCACGCGGTCAAACTCCTCGAGGTCGAGGTCGGCGATGCTGGGCGGGAACGCTGGCCCTGTTATGCCCGCGTTGTTGTACATTATGTCGAGTTTCCCATGCCGGGCCACGGCGGTTTCTACAGCTTCTGCTATCTGGGACTCCACTGAGACGTCGCATTGGACAAAGTGGGCTGCTGGGCCCAGCTCTTTGGCGACTTGTTGACCCAGCTCAGAATCTGTGTCTGCAATGATCACGTGCGCCCCTTGTTGGATGAACTCGTGGGCCGTGGCCTTCCCAAGCCCACTTGCCGACCCTGTTATTAGGGCTACCTTGCCTTGTAGCCTGCTTCTTTTAATGGAACGAAAACATGTGTTTTTTTATTTATAAATGGAAGTGATATTTTAAAGTATCTCAAAGTAATCTAATTTATAAGAGGGGAGAGAAATTCAAACTTAAGTACAAGGGTACGGACTCACGAAATGACCTACTAAAAACACATGTTAATGATGGAACTATAAGAAAACAAGATGCATAAAATGCAATGAAAAGACAAAATTAGTCATGTCCTTTGAAAAAAGAGGTATATTGCAGATGGGAAAAAGGTGATGCCAAATGAAATGATGATGTGCTGTGGATCAAAATTCCTCAAGAAATCACCGAAAAACAAGACCGCCCGCATTGAAGATATAAAGTGAATGTGAAAGGCTAACCTAATCATTAATATTCTACAGTGAAATGGAAATGAAGCAATTTTGATGGTACTAATATAAAAGCGTTAAAGAAATCTTGCAAGTATCGGTTACTTGCTGACTTCAAATATTTGAATTTGATGCCCAATTATAATTAAAGTTGAAAAAACAAGTCATATGCGTTGTTTTGTTAGATATACCATGGCCTTGACAAACATTGCATGTGCTGCACTCACTGTTAAACCTTAAACATCGTTGTCTTGTCAACACCATCACCATGTTAATTGATTAAACTATGTATAATTTGAGTTATTGACCTTAAAACTATCACATTGAATTCAAGACAGACAGCATATAATATGCCAAAATTAATTGCTACGGAATAAAATTTAATCGCGGGATAATTTTATGTTATGAAAAATTTAATTATTTAGAGAGGTGATTTATGGTGTTCATTGTGGATGCCTGGAAATTACCTGAAAATTCAACTTCTTTTCTTTTTCGCTAATTTGAATGCAAACAGCTGTCACAGCACTATGCAATGCAGCAGACAATATGAATGGCGCAAATAATGACTAAATGAACACAAAAGACAGACGGTATGAAATGAAGTGAATGGCGCAAATACTGAGTGACAATTGACACAGTGGAAGGGGAGGTAGGAGATTTACTAGAGGTAGTTGCGAGGAGAAACAATAATTAATAACTTTGAATCTGCAGCTAGCCAGGACACCATCGCATCCATATTCAGGTATGTATAATATAAACCAAAGCGGCAGCTATATATGTATGTATGATGAGATGAGGCAGATAAATAAAGTACCTTCCATGGCCACCACCAGCTCTAGTTGAAAAAAGTCTCGTTCGCTTCAAGAGAAAATCATTGCAGCTGTTCAGCTTAAACTCTCTGCGGGAAAAGAAATCCACCCGAATAACCCTTAGTTCAGTTTCCGAAAATTGTCAGCCCATAAATTTCCAGGTTTTGGCATAAAACATATATATATATATATATATATATATATATAGGAACTGAATTATATATTTCACTATGATCAGACAACAAAGTTTAACATACAGAACAGATATATAATATAATCAAGAATGAAGAAATAGTAAGAGCCCAAGGCTCAGGTGTAAACTGACCTAGCTAGAGATCTGAGCATGTCAACGGCGAAGATCTGAACTCCGATATCTGCAAGAGAAAGATGTATGTACTTGCTGATCTCAATTCTCAAACTCAGTGGCAGCAGCACTACTCAAACTACCAAAAAGGCCCAGAATTTTATTGGAGGGGAAGAAAAAGTTAATTGCAGTTGTCGTTGTGCACACGCATTTTCATGCACAGAGAGAGAGAGAGAGAGGGAGAGGGAGAAGAGGGAGAGCCAAGTTGACTGAAGCTGGTTCATAACATCTGTGACCTGTCATATATATTTATTGATCCTTAATTATGAAAACAGGAAAGATGAAGCTAGTAAGTAATCGTTTTTCTAAAGGGTCTTCTAGGGAAGTATCTCAATATTTTTTGGCCACTTACCGGGCACTACTAAGTGCAATTACATATTTGTAATTCTATATGGAATGTTTACAAATGCGCCAATTATTAAAAAGTCCAAAGATTTTTAAACTACACTTAGAATACTACGATAATACGGCTATATATTATAATATTCTTTAAAAGAGAAAAATAAATAAATTATGTCGTCCACTCATATTGTAACATCAGAGTATACCCACAACCTTGAGCCGAAAGAACTTATGTGTGTCACCCAATTATCAGCTGTCACGGGTATGGATTTATATAGGAAATTACAGATTACACATCAATGAGGACTATTGATAATAAGACTCGAATACTTTGATGGGACCACACACAGTCCAAGGACCTTACCAATTGAATCAACCCTAATTGGCTCTTTATATTAAATTATTTGCACCATTCAAATTATTTTCGTTGGAGAGAATGGGAGGTAGCTCCGGTATCAATTAATTGCAATAAAAGTTTAAGGTTATCAACTAACAAGTGAGAGACCATTAAAACTGCTGGCTTTGCAATTGAAAGCTGGCGAATTCAAAATTTAAAACATCAACTGCGCTGTATGCGAAAGTAGCTACATTTATTTTAGTTCCCGTTAGTTCCTTTCTTCTGCATAATTTTAATTGAATATGAGAGCGATGTGAGTGATGGGAGGGAGACATATACAATTTTGATTTAAATTCTTAAAAGAAAGAAAGTAGCTAGAAACAGAGTTCGCTCGTAGTAAAATATGGTGCAGAGAATATGATGAAGATATGGATTCGCACGCAAGTTATTCTTTTGGACCGGCCAAGTTTATTTTTGAATTGAATCTCATTATCCTTCAAAACCCAATTAATTAAAAGGAAAGCTAGCTACGTACTTTTAAAAAAGACTACCTATGCTAGGAATAGGATAGGATTGTCATGTTATTGCCAGTGTTGGTGTAATTGTTAGGTATATTTATACTGGGTTAATAATAATAATTAAGCCTAAAATTGTCACGTTATTGAGATTATGGAGACAAACATGAGACAACTCAATGAGCCTATAGGCTCAAAAGTGCGGGATCACATACTCGTTGTCTGTTAATCAACAAATTAATTATTCTTTTCTGGCCCTGCCTTCATCATCTTCTTCTTTTCTTAGCCCCACTGTCCTCATTAAACATTTCCCGTTAACAAAAGGGTATCCCTTATGAGTTATAATCAATCAACTAGTTCAACACTGGAGCGATGTTTTGGTGTTTATTTACTAGTCCAAGTCCAACGAATACCAGACTCGCGCCCTGGCGCCCACCATCATCATTCATCAAGTCCCTTGGATTGGATTGGATTGGATTGGACTGTTGTTTGTTGGTTAGTGCCTTCCTTCCCTTTCGAATCCCAAAGAAAGATAACAATAGACGGGCCTACCGTGGACTGGGCCTAAGCACTCTTCATTTTTTATTTACCAAAACTTTTTTATTTTTTTATTTTATATTTTCTTTCCAAATTATTTACGGAAACTTAATAAAAAAATGAGTTGAGATTATTATGACAGTTGAGAGAGACAGATCGTTGTATTGTTACTTGCCAGCCAGGGACCCGGGTGTTTCCAAAGGAGTAGTACGACGTCGTAGCTTAGTGTGATCAGATCGTACGTGTTTGTTTTGTTGGTCAAAGGTTTTCGATCATACTTGAACAGTTTAACGTGATTGATTGCTAGTTAGTAATAACTTGACTTATTATTATTATTATTATTCTTTTCAATTTTAGGGATAATTTTATTTGCCTGAAATGTTTGATTTACTAGTACGAACAACTGCGAAGGAAAGGAAGGATGGGAGACTGAAAAAAGAAGGAGAAGCAGTTAGTTGATTAGGAGGAGGAGGAGGAGGAGGAGGAGGAGGAGGATAGGTGGTGGATGATAGCTCGCCTTGCGGACTTTCAAATCAATCGATATCTGGACATGGAAGTATCGAAGATATAGAGGGAGGGAAGGAGGGAGGGATATATCACAAGTCAAACTCAAACGACAAAAGAAGCAAGCAGATCTACAGACTACAGGCTACACCAATCTCTCTCTCTCTCTCTCTCTGTCTTCCATTGGATTGGATCTCTCTTTCACTCTCACGGTCTCACCCACACCCATCCAGCTACCTCCATCCAAACCATCTCATTCATTTCTTTTATTTATTTATACAATACAATACAATACAATACAATACAATACAATACATCACCAGCTTTATTTTCACAAATTACTGCGTCCAGATCTCACCTTTTCTTTGTCACAAAATTAAAATAACATAAAACGGAAAACGATCTTACCTTTTTCTCCCTCTCTCTCATATCTCACTCTTTGTAGATTTAGTTTCCTATGTTTTAAGCAGGATTCTGCCATTGCTCGTCACCACACGGGATCACTACTGCTACCTTCTGCTTTTGACTCCTCTCTAATCTCATCCTACAACCTAAATTAATGGGTGCCACCCAGTCCGTACAAGTGGTCGAAGAGAGCGAAGAAGACCAAGAAGAAGAAGAAGACCAAGAAGAAGAAGAAGAAGAAGAGGAAGGAGAAGAGAACGATATTGGTGAGCCCATTAGAAGTGAACTGGACAAGGATTTGATCAAGAAGGTTCTAGAACAAGAACCCGAGATGCTTTGCCACGCATCCGCATCGCCGCTCTCGCCTCAGCTCTCCTCATTAGGCACCCCGCGCCTCGGGCCCTCCATCAAGGTCTGGGACCCTTACAACCTCCTCGCTCCTCCTCCGCCTCTTCTGCCGCCGCCTCAGGGCTTCTCCCGAAGCTTCTCCTTGAGTTCCAATGCCATGGAGGACGACCGCTTCATGACGGAGGTCTTTTTGATTAGTCACGGCGAGTGCGAGTTGAATTTGCGGCCCGATTTGGTGGGCGGCCGCTGCCCTCAGGCGGCTTTGACCCCCAATGGGAAGCGGCAAGCCAGGGCCTTGGCGGTGTTCTTGAATTCCCAGAGGGTCAGCTTCAATGCCGTTTACACCTCCCCTTTGGATCGTGCGCGCTCAATGGCGGTTTCCGTCTGTCAGGTACTTTTGTATTTTTCAATTCAACTTGTTTCAATCAGTCTTCCTTAAGCCTTGAGCAGCTTAGTAGTTTAGAATTTTGATTATGCATTGGAGATTGATGAGTATATTTCTCTTGCTTACTAGTTTAGAATATTGATCATGCATCCGAAATATGCACAATGTTCTGATTCTGTTACTTGGATCAAAGTGTTTCCATTTAGCTGGCTGCCACAAGATGCGTTTTCCTTGTCTCTTATTCTCTCTGGTTGTATTCATTAGTCGCTAAATCACTCCCGGTTATTACTAGTGATTACCAGTCCATCAATATATTCTTTTGGTTGGACAATTCAATCTCCTTCAGCATGTGTATTTCAAAATACTAATGTGTGCATTCTGAATTTACCATTTCAAGACTTTATAGAATTGAGCATACCTTACATGCACGCCACGAGGATTTTTGAAGGGTCTATTTTCTTTTCCCAAATTGAGTTGTACTCTCTTCAATTCTTCTGTCTCTCTTTCTTAATGATGGTTTTCATGTGGAGGAAAGGGAGAGCCCTATAGGGATTATTAACCGTGATAAAATGATATGTAATAAAACAACCTAGATGAAGATCATGCGCTGAAGATGATCTGTTTTGAAGCCTATCTGTAATGCTATATAAAACAACCTAGATGAACTGTCTTAAAATGATCAAGCAGCCTATTTTTCAGTAGTATGCTGCTGATTGTGTTTGATGAAAATCCCTGGCCAACATAAGTGCACCCTTGCCATCCCAAAATTTAATTCAATCCCCATTCAACCAAGCTATGTCACTATTCCAAGATAAGAAGCAGGATAGTAACATGGTTGAAAGCTGCAAGGGAATAATGCTAGCCTATAATTTGGGAGATATTGCCATCGATGGTTCTAAATGGTAAATATAAAGACTACTCATAGTCGGGATCAAAAGCTTCTTCGAGCCAAGTTCTTGCCTCACGAGTGTAACGAAGCTATAAATGCTAATATGCATCACTACTGTTGCTGTCCTCATAGGCTCGGTCGCATGACTAGTGTGGAATCTTTCACAGTTATGGCTCCTTCCTTCTAAGAAATGGCTTCTAAAACTTCCTGGTACATGGCTTCATGAGTCCAAGTAATGTATTCAGAACTATGTTTCTCAGATTCAACAAGGAAGAGTAGGAGATGGATAATAATTTGAATCAGAGTCATTTTGGCAGAATCAATGTTGTCCTTGACTGTTTTGACCAAAAGAATTCTCAGGATCAGATATTCGTGTCGGATTTGGTAGTGTTTGGTTAACTTCACTTTCTCCTTCTCTTTCATCAATTGTTACTGTTAGATCCCCGGCCCTTTGGATCATCTTCTTCTTCATCAAGAGTCAGATCATTGGATCCCCCTTTTAACTGACGATCTTGACACAAAGAGTCTTTGTAATATTATTTCCTCATATGAGCAGCTAAAAGATAATGCAAGATATATGTTATGTGATTTGTTTATGGTAGAACTTTGGTATTTAAGATCTGTTTGCATACATCTAAGTAGTTAAAATCATGCAGGAAATGAACTTTCCAGTGGAACAGATACAAGCGTCGGATGCACTTGCAGAGATGAGTCAGGGGGATTGGGAGGGGTGCCCCCGGTCAGAAATATACACAGCTGAACTTTTGAGCTTCATTGACAGGGTTCAGCCTGATTTCTCTGCACCATCAGGAGAGTCACTTAGGCAAGTGGAATTTCAAATGGTTCAATTTTTAAATGGGACAGTTCTGGGGCTTACTGAAAAGTTAAGAGCGTACTTCTCTTTCTCGTCACACAATCAGAATGAGAGCCAAGGATTTTCACACCATAATTCTCATGTTTTAACCAACTCAATTCATGACCGAGAAGGGTCTTCTCTCCCACCACCTCAATGGGATCTGCTTCACAGGCAGCGGCAGGGGCTCTTAAGGAAAAAATCTGGTAAGAGCCGGCTACAAGTGGTGACTACAACCGGAGATCAGGAGGTTGAAGATGAGATTTCCCCTCGGGAAGTGAATCACCAAAGTTCCCCACATGATTTAAGTGGCAGGAGCTCCTCTTCTGTGTCTTGTATTGGCATTTTCAGTCATGCAGTGCCAATCAAGTGTCTCCTCACAGGCATCCTTGGATGTAGCCCATTAATGTCACATAAGATTTGCATAGAGGATTCCTCGGTGACAGTTTTGCAGCATTCATGGAGAACAGGTTGGCAGATAAAAAGGTTGAATGATACTGCACACCTCAGGCTTATGTAGTTATGTTAGAGTTTTGGAGTATCGAATCGATCCTTACATTATATCGACTCATGGGAAACCCGGCATCCTCAGAATGTCAGGAAACACGATTTTGCATAAATTTGCAATATACCCACCCCCACCCCCCGGCCATTTGTTGTAACATTTGCTAAATTTATTTCAACATTTACAACTCCAAAGAAGAAAGCATTGTGGTTGGAGTTGGATCCTTGTATTGGGTGATTCTTTTTATTTGTAGCTTTTGCAGGAGATGGTGTGAAAATCATGTATTTCCTGTATGTGGAAGAAATTAAGCTCTTTCACAATTCAGAAACTTAAATGAGTTGATGCATGCATCCATGCTATATATACGTATTATTCATTCGTTCTCATTTGGAACAATCTCATGATTCACCACTGACCACTAACACTATGCTGGTTTCATGCATGTTATGTAATGCATCATCATATTCAGATCATATATACGGTACTTGTTGAATAGCTCTTGAATTCCTTTCTCTTCTCTGTGTTTTTTTCTTATGGAAGATTCTTTGGCGTTTCAATATTTAAAAAAAATATTCTTTATGCCAAAAATTGTAAAACCAATATTAGAGAAAAAAAAAAAAAAAACACAGAAGCCATTGCAAAGTGCTTCTATCTCGATTGCTAGTCTTGTCTCCAGCGTAGGACTGGGTCGGGATTCGTGTTGTAATTTTCTTCTCTTATTAATTTATTTATTAGTCTTCGCCAACGGCAAAAACTCACAAAGTAGTATGAGACAAGAGAGGTGGGTCACAACTCACATGGGATGATGCGATTACGGAAGGCAGCCGAAAGATGCGGATCGGATCGGATCGCATTGCCAAAAATTTAAGAGCTGAGCCTGAGTGAGAAGAAGCCTAGCTAAGCTAGCTTGTAGCTGCTTCCGTATTTCAGAACTTATAGATTTTTGCATTTTCATAAGATTTATTTGGTTCATAATACAAATACAGATACAGTACTCGTCTTTTGAAGCACAAACACGTGTATAGCATGAGGTCTCTAATTACTTACTGAACAAATATTGAGACAGCATAGAATCTGTGTTAGTTTTTAATATATTGCCATAACCATACCGACAGACAGACAGGCAGACAGACAGATGAATGACGATAAACAAAAAGGTTCCAATAAATAAGCATCAAGGAGGAGGGTAAGATTAAGAGAGCAGCAATTAAAACTGCCACTGTCCATCTCGTGACTTCACTGCACCAGCAAACAGTAGGTCACACAGACAGACAGAGAGACAGAGACACCCAAATTCCCAGTCTCTCTTATCTTGCTAATATTATATGTATTGAATTGAAGGCTTGAAGCCCCAGTCCAGTTCAGTCCAGTTCAGTCCAGTTGAGCTAAAATCTCTCAGAGAATATTAGCCATGGCTCCTCCTATGAAGAAATTGTATGCAGTTTTAGGCATAGCCGTCCTCCTTGCCAGTTTTAGGCATTGTGTGCCAACGCCAACCATTTCAGCTTCTCCAGCCGTTTTACCATATGGAAAAGCACCCAACAACATGTCATCCTTTTTCCCTACTTCTCCTACTTCTGAGGCATTTGGACCAGTGGCAGTGGCAGTGCCCAGCTCAGGTGAGTTTGTGGGGAAGGTTAATTCATCCGCCGACTTCAACCGTGGGTGTGCTCTTGTTGCAATATATGCTGCAGCCCTGTCTACTTTGTTTCTAAATCTTGCTTAACTACTACGTACTCCGTCGACTTGTACAATTAATGCCAGAGCTGTTTGTTAGGATAGGATTTCAGAAGCAGATCAAGGGCTTGTAATAATAATTTGCACCTTCTGTGTGTTGACTTGCGATGATTTTGGTTTCTTTTCTAAGTTATCCACAAACTACTTCCTCCAGTTCAGTTCAGCAGCCTCATCTGAGGTTACAATAATTAATTAATTTTTAATTAATACGTGGCTTATGAAACTTGAATTTCTTGATAAGTTGATTCAAGACAAAGTTTAGAATATGAAAAGAAATATAAGTTAACGCACTCTTCTTCACATACAGTCATATAATACGCTTTTGAAACTTACCAACTTAAGCCAAGAGAATGGAAGGATAGAGAGTTGCTTGGCAAACAACATCCCACATTCAAATTGTTTGCTTGCTTAACGGAATCAAAAGCACCAACAAAAATGAATGCATATGAATGAATGAATGAAGATTTCAAAATCGAGTTTTTGTCTCATCAACAGACGGCCGTATTCAGTTTCAGTAGTCAACCCCAACCTCACTACCTGGTTCAGCAAATACGTGGACAAAAACGATGTCTCTTCCTGGAACTCAGTCATTGCCGACTTGGCTCGGAGCGGTGATTCTGTCGAAGCCCTCCGAGCATTTTCCTCCATGCGCAAACTCTCTCTCAGACCAACCCGCTCCTCCTTCCCTTGCGCCATCAAATCCTGCTCAGCTTTGCTCGATCTTCACTCCGGCAAGCAAGCTCACCAGCAGGCTTTGGTCTTCGGATTTGAGTCCGACCTTTTTGTCTCCTCTGCTCTCATTGATATGTATTCCAGGTGCGGCCTATTACCCGATGCATGGACACTGTTCGATCTAATTCCTCACAGAAATGTGGTTTCTTGGACCTCCATGATCACCGGCTGTGTCCAAAACGACCATGCCCACCAAGCCTTGTCTCTCTTTAAGGACTTGTTGATTGAGGAAATTGACAATGAGGATGTTTCTTTAGACCCTGTTGTTGTGGTTTCTGTTTTGTCGGCCTGTTCTCGTGTACCCAGGAAGGAACTTACACAATGTGTTCATGGGTTGGTGGTGAAGAAGGGTTTTGATGAGGATTTATGTGTTGGGAATACTTTGATGGATGCATACGCCAAATGTGGCGATCCCAGTCTGTCTAGGAAGGTGTTTGATGGCATGTCGCAAAAGGACTTGGTTTCTTGGAACTCCATGATCGCAACCTATGCACAAAGTGGATTATCTTCTGAGGCATTGCAAGTCTTCAATGGCATGGTAGAGGATGGTGACTTCCACTACAATGCGGTGACGTTGTCAGCTCTCTTAATAGCTTGTGCACATTCTGGGCCTCTGCTGGTTGGGAAGTCTATACATGATCAGGTATTTGAATTACTGTCAAGCCCATAATTTTGCGTTCTGTAGAATAATAAGGTATTACTGCAACCTCTCAACTAATCATCATGTGTGTTACAGCTTTGGTTTGTTACAGTTTATTGTGTTACAAATGAAAAGAAAAAGTTAAGTGACTCTGCCATCTTCGATCTTTTTTGTATAGGTTCTAAAAATGGGCTTGGAAGAGAATGTGATAGTGTCTACCTCTATTATCGACATGTATTGCAAATGTGGAAAAGTTGACATGGCAAGGAAGGCATTTGAGTTCACAAAGGAGAAGAATGTCAAGACATGGACTGCCATGGTTGCAGGTTATGGAATGCACGGCCGTGCCAAAGAAGCTTTGGAACTCTTCTACAACATGATAAGGGATGGCATCAAACCAAATTATATAACATTTGTGTCGCTTCTAAATGCTTGCAGTCATGCAGGTCTATTAAAAGAAGGCTGGTATTGGTTTAATACCATGAACCACAAGTTTGGTGTAGAACCTGGGATTGAGCACTATGGGTGCATGGTTGATCTTCTTGGGCGTTCGGGTGATCTCAACAAGGCTTATGATTTAATAAAGGGAATGAGGGTGAGACCAGACTGTGTAGTATGGGGTTCCTTTCTTGGGGCTTGTAGGATACACAAAAATGTGATGTTTGCAGAGATTTCTGCTAGAAAACTGTTCGAGTTGGACCCAAATAATTGTGGGTACTACATCTTGCTTTCAAATATATATGCTGATGCTGGAAGATGGGAAGATGTTGAGAGGATGAGAGTACTTATGAAGAATCGCGGGTTGGTTAAACCTCCTGGATTCAGTTTGGTCGAACTGAAAGGTGAGGTTCATTTATTTTTAGTAGGAGATAGAGAGCATCCTCAACATAAGAGGATTTATAAGTATCTGGAAAAACTGACTATCAAGCTGCTAGAAGTTGGTTATGCACCCAATGTGACTTCAGTTCTACACGATGTTGATGAGGAAGAGAAGGAAATGGTTCTTAGAGTTCATAGTGAGAAGCTGGCTGTTGCCTTTGGAATCATGAATTCTGTACCTGGTACAACAATTCAGATAATCAAGAATCTTCGAGTATGCGCTGATTGTCACACTGTTATTAAGTTGCTTTCCAAGGTCGTTAATCGGGAAATTGTGGTCAGAGATTCAAAGCGATTTCATCACTTTAGGGATGGGTTGTGTTCTTGCGGAGATTATTGGTGATGGCTCTGTTAAAAGTTTGGATTGATAAGCAATATTGGCTTGATAAACGACCTTAGGCATTGATAAGGTGTTAAGAATCATAGCAATGCAGAACTGCAGCTATCATAGGCATTGATTTAAAGAAGTTGGGCTTATTAGGAATTGGCTTCATATATTTTGCTTCAGTTTTGGTGAGACTGAATGCCATACAAATGTTTTTCAATGAACAGAAGACAGTAAATTGTATACGTAAACTAGGATTCTTGTCCTGAACCCGCAAACCACTGTTCTACCAGGTACATAATGATCATGCTTGAGAAGATGGCTTATTAAGGCAATGAAGGTTCTAGTTCTTGAAGAGATGTTTCATTTTGCAGTTTCACCTTCGACCACATGATTCAGAGAAACAGTATGAGGATAGGGAAGCAAATGAATGCTAGAAGCGGGAAGCAAATAAATGAGGTTTTTCTAAATTAAATTATGATTTGATCTTCACATGGTTTATTTATGCTGGCTTTTGTTGACTTTGTAATTTCCATATGTATATGTGGAGGCGTAACTAGAAAGGAAAGTAAGTAAGAAAATTTCTCTTTATGGAAAAGGAAATTTGAGTAGTCGTTTGGAAATTGCCAAATTGAAAGACCATATTCTGTATTGATTTCCCCGAGATATGCCTACGAATATACGATTCCAGCTCCCCATGGGTTGGTACTTGGTATTGTTGAGTCTGTTTCTATAACCGTTGTTCACGCTAGGACGACATAACAAAAGCCACCTTCGTACCATTCACAACTCCTTTCTCATACACGCAAATATCATTTATATATTGCTATGTTCAAACAACTTACCTATACATAATAACTAAATTCTTTGAATATACACAAGAGAAAATTATAGGTGAATGCATCTTTCTTTCTTTTTCGACAATTTGATATACAAAACTATTCTAAATTCTAATTACGAGGAAAATTTAGCTCAAAAAGAAGCGAACATGCTAACCATATCAATTGGCATAATTCACGTTTCCAAATTTATAATTTTTTTTTTCTTTTTCAGAACTGCAAATTTATAATTGGGAAACAAAACAAGGGTGGAATTTCAGAGTCAACATTTTCCAAAGCTCTACTTTGATGGGCCTCAGTGAGAATGAGAGACCAGCGAAAGGTCAGCAGCACTGTGGTGGCAGAATCGTAATTAAAGGAAATCGACGGGGTCATCTCGTATAATTGATGCGAGGGTTGAGCACTGGACCATAGCAAAAACCGGAATCAAAAGGCAGAGGAGAGCCCCATTTCTAACAAAGCATCTGGCAGCGAGAGTTTGGGAGAGAACCTCTCTCTTTCATTTCATTTCCTTTCCCTCACTCTCTCTCTCCCTTGCTTCTAAATCTCGAGGTCCTTCCTCTTCTTCCTTCTTAACTCCCAAATCTCAGACAAATCATACCCCTTCCTGTTTCTCCCATGGCTCTCTCAGAAAAACACTCGCGTGAGTCTCTGATCCCTAGCTTCCTCTACAGCTCCTCATCGTCCACCAAAACTCTAGCGCTGGAGAAGATGCTCCACGCCAGGCCTAGCGGCTTCACCTCCAATGTGAACGCCGAAGGAGCGTCCGCCAGGAAGGGCCTGGTCATTCCGTCGCCGAGCGAGCCCTCCAAGAAGATCGAGATGTACTCGCCTTCCTTCTACGCTGCCTGTACTTTTGGAGGGATCCTTAGCTGTGGTCTCACTCACACGGCCGTCACTCCTCTTGACCTCGTCAAATGCAATATGCAGGTCCTCTTTTCTTCAGATCCCTTGCCTTTTCATCTCCAAGTTTCTATCTCTGATTTTATTTCGATTTGATATCCTTATCATACAACAACTCATTCTACCTGATTAGATCTGCGGTCTTTTATCTTCGTATTTGATCGTAACATTTCATTTGTCTATGTATTCATCCATATATTCTGTCTAAGTTCTTTGTCTGCTTAGGTCTGCTATTTGTTTTCCATGGTTCACAGGTTCTTGCCCTCACGTATTTGCTATTAATTTTGAATATCTCGGTCCTTAATTCCACTGCATCATGATCTGAACTGGATCTAGTTTTCAATGAATTTGTACAGTTTTAGAGATTTTTATTTAATTAACATTTCTCCATTCATGATTTTCCCCGCTAACCATTCGTTGTTTTTTTCCTTCTATTTTCTATGTCTTCGATTGATTAATTTCATTCTCATTCTGTATTGATTGCTTTCAACCTGCCACTCTATATTGATCGTTTGATTTAGTTATTTCGCTTTGTAATGTTCTGAATGTAAGATGTTTGTTCTGTTAACTTCAATCTTTATTTAGGTTATCATATCAAAGACATCTGTAACTAACATATTTCTCACTACACTTAGTGGCGGATGTAGATAATTTAATTGACGCTGTGGATATTAATTGTTGTGTTTCTAGATTGACCCAGCAAAGTACAAAAGCATATCATCTGGTTTTGGAGTTCTACTCAAGGAGCAGGGCGTCAAGGGCTTCTTCAGGGGATGGGTGCCTACCCTCCTCGGTTACAGTGCTCAGGGTGCCTGCAAGTTTGGATTCTATGAATTTTTCAAGAAGTACTACTCTGACCTTGCTGGACCAGAGTTTTCTGCCAAGTACAAAACCTTAATCTACCTTGCTGGTTCTGCATCTGCTGAGGTCATTGCAGATGTTGCACTTTGCCCCTTTGAAGCAGTCAAGGTCCGGGTACAAACTCAACCTGGATTTGCTAGAGGTTTGTCAGATGGACTTCCTAAGTTTGTCAAGTCTGAAGGTGCTCTTGGGTATGTTTTACTGCATCATCATTTCAATATTTATGCTCTGCAACACACACGGATGCATGAGTTGTTCCTTTAGGTTTCAAACAAGCTGTTGTTAAGATTAACATGTGAACAATTTTCCATTGCAGGTTGTACAAGGGTATTGTTCCTCTATGGGGTCGTCAGATTCCATGTAAGTAAGAAATATGGGAACACATGATTGTCTTTATTTTCTACTTGTGTGAAATACAGCTTTAACATATTTCTGTATGATTTGAAAGGAGTATTCCATGGTACTGTATGCACCATACAGGGAACCCTTTTTAAAAATGAAAGTGGAAATTTTAAGGATGCAATTGGTCACCACAAACTTGAAAACTGTAGTTTTGAGAATCTCCTATTTCTATGGTCATGCTTGCTACTCTGAAGTTTGAATTTTGTTCTTTATCTTTTCCACTTCCACGCTTTCCTGAGTTCGAGTATTGTTTGGAGTAATCTATTGGGGTCAGGAGATCCAATTGTTGCATTCGTGGTTTTTTCAAGCATTAAGTAGATGCCTTGAATTTTCTGGCCCAAAAAAAGAAGATAGCTTTACGCATGTTAATTAAGATCTAATCTTATGATCCACGTTTACTTTTTTTTATTTGGAGTTGAGCCCAAAGTTGAGTTCGTGTAGTCTTCTGTTATCATTTATTAGAAAAGAACTTTCTTGCTCGAAGCTGTTTGTGGGTCTTGATGTGGTGTTTATCTCAGCCTAGGCCCATTATATGCCACATTTTCTGTTAGAACTTCCCATTTAAGCTCTTTGTGAAACTAGCCTAATAGGTGCTGAATCTGTATCGTTGCAGTTTTATGATCTTGAAGCTATACTATGCTTTACTTGAGCACAAAATTGCTTTTACTTGATTACTGATCTGCTTGTTTTTTCTTGCAGACACAATGATGAAGTTTGCCTCCTTTGAGACCATTGTGGAGATGCTCTATAAATATGCCATCCCTAGACCTAAGGACCAGTGCTCCAAATCTTTGCAGCTTGGTGTGAGTTTTGCTGGAGGATACGTGGCTGGTGTTTTCTGTGCTATTGTTTCTCATCCTGCTGACAATCTTGTGTCTTTTCTCAACAATGCCAAAGGGGCGACAGTTGGTGATGTGAGTGCTGCTATGGTTTCTGGATAATGTTTGTAGTACATCTTCATGGTTTTGTTTTGACTGTTTTGGTTTCTCCTTGTTCAGGCTGTGAAGAAGATGGGGTTGGTCGGTCTCTTTACCCGTGGGCTTCCTCTTCGTATTGTCATGATTGGAACTCTTACTGGAGCTCAGTGGGGAATCTATGATGCATTCAAAGTTTTTGTCGGGCTGTAAGTCATTCCTTCCTGCAACCGTTTGCTTTGTCTAGTTGATTTAAGGAACTGTTAGGTAAATCTTATGGAATTGGTGTATGTATTTTCAGGCCAACAACTGGTGGTGCCCCTCCTCCTGTTTCTGCTGCCACAGAGCTTGCTAAGGTGTAATCCGCTGGGTGATCAACCTCATCAACTTTGTTGTTTTTTGAAACTGGAAAGTTTGTCATAGGAATTAAATAAGCATAGGATTGCGGAAGTTACTTAAAATGGCTTCTAAGCAAGTGGGGATTTTTATTTCTTTTGCATCCGGAACCTGTATCCCAGTTTTTCCTTTTTTGACTCATCTGATTTTCGGGGGATGGTTTTGCTCTCATCCTCTTTAAAAGACGTATTTTTAGTTAGATCAGAGATGAATTTGAAATTTGATGTTAGGAGTGAGGAGGTGTCTTCCCCCTGTCAAGATTAGGCAACAAAAAATAATGTTAGATGGGATATGTTCTTCGGCCATCGGTAGGCATGGGAATTATGCCTGTATACGATTATTATTTCATTTTGATACTCTTCATTTCAGGCTTATTCCGAGTTTTTTATTTCAATCTTGCATTCTATATATTTCGTTTTCATCCTGCAATCTTTTTATTATTATTTATTTGTAAATATGTAGTTTTCTATCATAGCATTGCAACAAGGTTTTTGGGTTTTCTTTCCTTTCCCTGAGACCATCTTCTTGGTTTGAAGTTTAATAAATTTTTATGTTTCACTTTTGGCCCAAAGGTAATCAGAACTTCCGTGTGATGATTGGTTACTTAAGACACATAAAATGTTCTTTTCAGAGTATAATAATACCGTTCTTTGAGTTGTTTCCATTACTTCAATTAAATGAAAGGTTCGGTAAATTAACTCACCTTCTCAACAAAAATATAAATTTAACATATTTGAGCGTAACTCTGTATTAGCCAGAAATATATGCTCGTTGTTATGCCCCGTGAGCAATAAAATAAAATAACATCCCGACTTCACGTTGAGCTAAACGCGGTCTCCAAATTATTCGAAGATGAGGAGAACCCAAAAAATTTATTGCATAATTTCTTTCAAATAATTATAAAAAAGAGGTACATCAAGAACGTCGGTTTCATGCTCTACAGATATCATGGGTGAGTAAAACAGAAAGAAAAAAACAACTACAAGTCTTCAGTACCAAAACAAAAGACTACTAAAAGTTTTGAGATGAAAGAGCATCCCAGTAAAGTTCACCTCCCGATAAACGCTCACGGAAAATCTCAAAGCAGCAATTATAAGTAAATAAACATAGAATATAGCTATCAATGCCAATATACAAATACCCCGCTCCCCTGTTATTGTTGTCTAAAGGAATACTCAAATTCAGATTGCGAAACTGACAGGACAATCTTGCGCCCATTCAAACAAGATTGATTGTGAATGAAACATATGGATGTGCATCAGCATCGCCTCCTAGACCAGCCATCGCTCCCCCAACTTCATCGTCAGTTTTCCAGAAGGTACTGCATTGTAACACAAGGAAGCAACATCAGAGAACTAAGCTTAATGCGTACAGCATATCACATAAAAGGGTCTCTTAGGATAGTCAACAAGCGTCCTAAAGTCATCTTCATCTACAATTGGTTAATTCAGTTTTACTCGTAATGTCATCAGAGAGTTGAGGCTCCCCCTTACTATGCCACAAACTCAAGTATAGCTTATGGACTTGCCTGTTACCACTATCGCACAACCCTTCAAGGATTGAACGTACTTTCTTCTCACTTTTTGTAGTCGGAGCTAAGACACATGCCTGAAATATCATTTCAATATCCACTGGTTAGTCAAAAGTGTTTGGTCGTAAACCAGTGACAGAAAATGAGAACACTATTATTTTGGACGAAAAATGATAACTTTCTTACCAAGAAAGATGGTGGTAAACCATATCTCAGAATACTCTCTGCAAAGATACGTACAGCACAAAAATGCATCCAGGAGCTGAAAACCTGCATGCGAGAAACTTGTACATTTAGTAAGAAATTTCCAAAATCTGTCATAAGAGAATACGAGAAAGCATGATACAACAATAACGCAACGTATGATGATAAATAGAATAATAATTCGACTAAGGCTCCGTTTGACATTGCAGTGCGGCCAAAAGAAGCCGTTTATTTTAGAAAATTTAAGCCTCAAAGCGTTTGGTAAACCAAAACAACATCCGCTTATTTAAAAATCTCAGGTCCCGCACAGCAGTTTTTCGATGCAGGTTGGAGGCTGCTTCTCAAAGTTGTTTTTTTAGTAGCAGCCAGTTCCAATTAATGAACTTTTCAAATACCCAGTATACCCTTATAAATTTTAGAGATTGGCACACTTTACCCTTCACCCTCTTCACAGTCTTTTTCAGAAGCTCCAGTTTCCCATCTTTCCACTCCATCTCTTCTCTCACTTTTTCTTTCAATTCTTTCTCTTTCTTGGTTCCATGAACCAATTTTCTTGTGGGTTCTTACCTCAGCCACCCTAAACACCCACATCCCTTTTTATTATTATTATTCACGTGGCTGACCCTCTTTCTTGATTTATTTGAAATCATGGGATACGGCAGCAAGAGGAAGAGGAAGAGTTCTGAGAAAAAAACACAAGAGGAAGAGGAAAATGAAGTGGGGTCTGTCGATTTGGGTTGTGTTGTGAGTTGAAAGGGAAATAGTTGGTTCTGGTTTCTTGTTTCTTTCTGGTTTGGCTTAGTTTTTGGTTTCTTTCTGGGTTGTTGATGTGCTTGGGGCTGTTGGTTTGTTGAATGAATATCACTTTTCCCAAAAAAGGGCTGTTTTATTTATTTATTTTTATTTACTGTTTTAGTTCTTTATTTAATTCCTTGCCGAGAGAGAAGAGGCTGACGAGAGAAAGAGAGAAGAATGGAGAAAAAGGGTCGAGAGAAAAGAAAAAAGGAGAAAAAAAAATTGAGAGAAAAAGGAAAAGGAGAAAAGGGGCCTTCTTCCTTCTCAAGTTTTTTATTTTAATAATTGTATATTACTTTTAAGATTATAAAAAAAAAAATTAAAAAAAAGGGAGATTCACTATATACCCGATATAGGAGCCTAAATTATAATTAAAAAAAACCCTATATGAAATGGACTTTAGAAACACACCCAAAGCCTATTTACAACATAACAAAAAGGCGTTTAACTTCTTTTAAATTACAAAACTGCTATTGATTTCTTAAAACAAACCCAACCCCAAAATCTCATAAAGAGCCCAAAACACTCAATAGGGCATCAAAGTAATTTAATAATCAAAATTAAATTGAATAGGTCCAGCTGTCATTTTTGGGGTTTTTTTTGGGTATGTTGATAAAAATTAAATGGTGTAGGGTTTATTTATAGTTTTAGTGCTAAGAATGGGTATATGACTAAATATCTCAAAAAAAAAAAAAGGTAAATGTATTGTAAAACAACATAAATATCATTTTCAATATCATACCCATTTTGGTCATTATAACAGTCACAACACTTCTAGAAAAAAGTTTACCAGACGCAATGACACTGCTTTTTATACTCACAGCACTTTTACAAATATAGATTACCAAACACTTCACTACTTCATTTCACAGCTGTTTATTCTCGCAGCAAAGCAGAAGCAGTATTTTTTTAAAGCACAGCAATGCAAATCTAGCCCTAAGAACAATTACGGGAAAATTGTAACTGAGCCACAGAGAAATAAACGCGGGCATCATGTATAGAAGCTACTTAGATCAGGCCATAACAGGCATCTTTAACTTAAGATTACTAGATAGAAACCCAATTTTAATACCACCTGATCACTCAACATCACCTATGGTGCCACAATGTTGCTATATTTTTATTACATGACCAGTGGCAGGTGACCTTGAACATTTTTTTTCTTCCCATTAGTTCATAAATCCCCCTAAAACCATTTTTCCAGATTTAAATCATAATCTTCCTCACTTTATAAATATGATAAACAAATTAAACTAAAATAAAAATTACCTCTCCATAACTGGCATAGCACCACTGCAAAAGGGAGCTTCTTAAATTTTCTTGGTCTTGTACCAATTTTTCTAACTCCTGCTTTCGACTTTCTTGTGCTTCAGAACTGTATTCGAAATCACGAATCTGAACGACATAATAAAGAAACACAAGTCAGTTATAAGATTTCTCCTTGCTCAGTAAAAGAAAGGAATTAGCATATTTGGGCAATTTATGCATCTCTAATCCAGACACATTTCTCAGGAATGGTAATTTCATATTGCATAAATGATAAAGAAGAATTAGTTTTGCAACTTTCATGGAAAAAGCAAAACAGAATGTACAGAAATACTCACTTGGAACCCCTTTTCACGAGCACTTGTTCTAAAATTATCTGCGACCCGATTGAACAGTGTTACAGTGTAAAGTGCATATTCATTATCTTCAAATAACTTCTTAGAGGACCTAGGGACCTGAAAAATGCTTATCATGATCAATAAGACTGAAGCAAGAAGGCTGAATAAATAAGAAGTCACTATGTGCTAGCTTTTATTTCAAAACTTTGAAAGATACAATGGAAAATTTGATCAACTTTCACCACCCTACTGCAAAACCTTTTGTCTTTAACAGTTGAAGCAGAAATGTATGGTGTGGAAAACAATCATACCACATAGTTAGTCAAGGTTTCATAGCTTGATAGCCAATCCTTCTGAGAATACTTGGGAACAACTGCAAGGAGGGTCACTAGATGTTCTGAGGTAACGATGTCCTCTGGTTTCACTAAATTGGAAAGATCACGGACTGCTAAGCTGAAAAGGCCCCAGAGATTGGTAAAATTAGAATCAGAGCAAAATATCCTGTGCAATTGCAATTATTAAAGTTAGAGAATAATTATACCTTCCACTCTGCTTTCTGTTGATAGCATTAAGTTGACTGCGGACATTGTTATACTCAGCTACGCGAACCTAACATGGGAGCCACATAATGTATAGTGATTTATTCTTCTGGGAAAGATTTACGGCCTAAATGTATAAACATTTCATAATACCATTACGTTTAGTTGTTAAGACAACAAACAAAAGAAAAGAAAGCCTTCAGAAGTGATTCTATGGGGAGAGACTGGAGGAACTAGGCTGACAACCATTAACTATATTGGTTCAACTCCCCAGCAACACATTCATGGTTATTTCAATAAATTGTGTCCTTAATCAGCAGCAGCTTGTGTCCTCTAAGCTAAGCACAACAAAGAAATGTCTACAATGACTGACTATGTATTATTGAGTAGTGTTAACAGTTAATCAACCAATAACTTTATCGTAAACTAACATACTGAAGCTTAAAAGAAAAAAGGGTGAAGGATTACCTTCAGATCATCCTCAATCTTTGCGACTTGACCATGAATGCTGTCTACGACCTCCTTCAAAGGCGACATTGTAGGGTACTTGGCTTCATCCCAAACGAACCTACCATCATAACAAAAACCCAAAATTCAATACCCAAACACAGAGATCACTCATGATCTGCAGTGCAGCCAAACATCCTAAGTCCATATTTGATCTCATTGAATTGAACTGTGATTCAATACCTAGTAAGGTAAGAATCAACAGGTACACCATCGACAGTGAGTGCGCTGCTCTCCACGCCTGAAACCCTCTCCAGTTCCTCGATCTGGCGCCTGATCTTGTGAGAAACACCCTCTACAAAGTTGTTGGACTGCAAATTGCCAAATAACACACAATTAGTACCGAAATTAACAGATCGAAGCAAAGAAAAATTTGCAATGGAATGGCGAAAAAATTGCATTTGAAAAAATAAAGAGATCAATCATTATCGTTCTATGTAGTTTCTACAGAAGCAGATAAACATAAAGAAATTTGAACTGGAAGAGATAACAAACAAGTTGTAGAAGTCCAAATTAATACCTTCAAGAGATCGTCGCTGAGGGAGAGAAGAGAATCCAGAGTTCCAACACGGAGATTAGGAATATTGAACTGTAGAAATGATAATATAACCAGAAAGAATTAAGAGAGAGCATCAGATCTTGCAAATTAAACGAAGGAAAAAAGAAAGAGCAGTACTCTGTAGAGGGGAGTATCGAAGGAATGCTTGGAGATTTGTTCCTGGAGACGGTTCCATAGAGACGACGCCGAGTTTTGGACCGGCAGAGACACCACCCAATACCTGCTCGCCATTCAACAAAACCGACTTAAAACTGCACACCTTTCTCTTGTCTTCCTTCTTCAGCTCTCTCTGTGCTCGCCCCACTTCCCAAATTCCCTCTCTCGGCTCTGTTTTCTCCTCCTCCTCCTATTTTCTGTAGATTTCTAGTTTTCTTTTCCAATTCGTAATTATTTCCCATCGATATTATGTAGTAACTAATACAGACCAATCAGCTCATGCCATCTCATCCAGAACTGGTAAATGTTGCCAATCATTCCAAAAAAAAAAACCCGGTAAAAATAAATAAAATTGCAAAAACACCGCGGCAAAATGTTCGCCCACCGTGGGGCTCGAACCCACGACCACAAGGTTAAGAGCCTTGCGCTCTACCAACTGAGCTAGACGGGCAGCTTGCGCATGTTAATAGAAAAGAGGCTGATAACTGGTGTCTGCCTCAAACAACAGTGAAATAAACTGTACCTTAAAACTATGAGTGATGGAGATTTGTTTGTCTGGTCCACATTATTGAGGCTAAGCCAGATGAAGACAAATATATGTGTCCCAGGTGGAAACTGCAGCTACATGCCAGCAAATAATAGAAAGCTGGAGGATGAGGAACTAGGCGATTATACAAATGGTTAATTAGTTTGTAGCATATAGATTAGTTAACTGATTATCCTGCTTAGGAGATTTAAGGATATTATAATTATGTCCTGGAAATTAAACAAATAATTAATTGGGACAAGTACATGTCACAAGTTTCTACACTTGCTGTTGCCTTTATTAATGCATAGGATGCCAAAATACAAGGGTACCAAAAACAGAGTGAGACCCACTTGGTCATTTAGGTTTACATGCAGCATGTAGTGCCTTGTACTAATGCTCCAAAATTCATAACTTAATAGTAGTCATCAAGGGACAAGTTTTCAACAGAACCAAAACTTTCATGCAGAGGCCCATTTCTGGAATAGTTGGTCATCGATCCCCCAAAAAAATCAAGCAGAGAGTCATTTGAGAAGGTGGTGTCATACACAAATGACATGCCTGCAGTTGTATCTTCATCCATTGCCATTGTGGGCATGTAAAACGAACTCGACTTGTTCGCCTCAGATTCGTCAAGGAAGAGATCGTTCACGCCATTGTTCATAGTGCTTATGTCACCATACACATGATCTTGGTCAGAAGCCTTCTTAGCCTGAATGACCTGCCAATGTTTCATTGTTAACAATTTAATTAATCCCTATTTAATTGGTATTCAAAAACTTGCTAAAATGTACACTTATAATCATATCAGGAACTGGAACTGGATAATTAATTCGGTCACCATACGTAATTCTGGTTTTGAGTATCTTGGTAAACCATGATAAAATCTCCAAGCTGTAAGCCATGTGCGTTAACAAATTCCCCTGAAAAAATTCAACATTACAAGAATGATATTCTGAAATTTGTAATAAGTACTTCACTGTACACTCAGAATAACCAGATGCTGGATAAAGGAAAAGAAGGGATACCAGTATTTTCAAGTACATACATTCTGCTGTTGTTATTAGGCCAAAACCTGCTTAATTGGAAAATAACAAAGGATAGATACATCGGCCATTACATATATCTAAAGGAAGGTATATCTTACTCATGCATTCGATCTGTAAATTCTTTCACCACAAAATAGAGGAAATTCAAACCTGTACTTGAAGCTCCAAACATGCAGACCATCTATGTCATCCATGCTGATTGGAATTCCTTCCTTTGATTCAAGGGCAGGGAGATGAGCCTCAGCTGCTTTCTGGAATTAAGTTGTCCAATGTTAATATACAACATTCATCATGTTTTCCTAATGAAACAAACTTCGCCGTTGTCATATAAAAAGAAACCGTTGATCACCTTTCCTTTACAAGCTTAGCTAGCATGATAGTCTTCATGTATACATGTATAGCTATTAGCTAGCTAGCCATTTGCAAACGCGAATGCTTACTTTTGATCTAATTATCAGCAGAATGTTTGAGTAATTACAGAGATTAGTTAGATCAAACCTTACCTTGGGGAGTATCATTCTTCTGAGAGAGCTCACATCACTATTCTTAAGCTCTTTTTGGAAAAGAAATCTCAACCTTGTTGGATCAATAACCTGAAGCATCCAGATCCACGCATGAGATCATCATTACATTAATTAAGTTTAGAGTCATCGATTAGATTTTGTACTCAACAGATATGCATTGAACAAACTTGTCCTGAGGCAGACAGCATAATCAATTTGCAACAACTGAAACAGTGATCAAGCTGCAAGTGTTCACAAGGCAGTGAAATAGTATTTTTCTATTGTCCTGCATATTGGACCAACATGCCACCAAACCAAATTATGATTAGCACAGTTAGGAACTTCAAAATATGGAGTCCACCTAGAGTTGAGATTCGTATTAAATACGAATAACTCCAATGATGATTCACAAATCTAAACGTTTCTGTTAAAAAGGTGAACTCATCAATCCAACGGTCATTTAACTAAAAAAATGTTGGTATCGAATACGACAACATTGTATTGTGAATTATTTTATTTCCCAAATCTATATAAAATGGACGGGTATGACGGTGATTCATTTCGAAAATGTACAAATTAATTTGTTAGGGTTCAAATGTAGGATCCATTATTGGATTTACAGAGTTGGTGCACAACCTGATCATGCCATCACAGAGAGTCAATTCTTTGATATTATAGATCGGACAAATTCCACGGAACCAACAATGAAAAGAAAAAATGTCTATCTAGCTATAAGTATCTAGGTAGGGTTACTTTGATTGCTAAAAATCACCAACATATAAAATGAATCGTGAAATTTCATAACAAGAGACAGACACATTGATTAATCAATCAAATCAAAATCCGGGCCCTGTAAATAAATGAAAGAAGAGAAGAAAATCAAGCAGATCGTACAAGCCCAAAAGGTACCCATCACGTACACCCGGGTCTAGAGATATCTGATTGAACAGTGTCTGACATGGATCGAAAAGTACAGCAATAGAATTAACAAAAGAGGAAATCTTTGAACGAAAATAATATAAGGAAAAGGCTACTGTGAAATAGAATTTAATTTATGAGACAAATATTATTGATTAAAATTAAAAAGAAAGGTAAAAAATTGAAGAAAAATAATGAACATTAATTCATATATTATAGATAGATATCAGGTAGTAGGAATTAGGAAAGGGAAGGGGGAAGGAAGCTCACACGTGCAGGCGGGAGAGTGGAGGGGGGTTGGAGGGAGGGCAGCACGTGCGAGGTGGTGGTGGTGGAGGAAGCAAAAGTGAGATGATGAAGGTTGATGATGGATGATCGCCTCTGTCTGGTCATTCTTTTCTTCCTGTGGACACCAAAACTAGTCACAGCATGGACAAGGTCGTCATGGTCATGGATGGAGCCGCTCCGATCCGACCCGTGAAAGGAAGTCTTGTCCCCCTTGGCAGTGACAAGGCCGAGATCAGCCTCAACACCTGCCCTCAACCCACAGGCCTCGGTTTTCTCATGATGAATTAGGCCAGCTGCTGCAGAAGCTGCTGCTTGGTCCATCATCATTAGCTAATATAGCTAATAGCAAATAGCAAACAGCTAGAGAGAGAGAGAGAGAGAGAGAGAGAGAGAAAGTTGGATGGGGTTTTGGGTAGGCACTTAAGCAAAGCAAAGCAAAGCACAGAGAGAAAACACCTTGGAATTCAGTAAGAGTGGCTGTGGTTTCTTGATCAGTGCTTGTGCAGATCGAAAACTAGCAAGTGAAGGACGCTCGGCAATCGCGAAATGGGTGGGGGCTAGCTATGGGAAAGAGAATTCTAATCTCTCTCGCATATCTAGTGGGTGGTTGTGGAGGTAGAGGCACCTTTTCTTCTATTTCTCTTTTGCTATTTTTGGTAAGGGTTTTTGCTGCCTCCTTGGTTTTGCAGTGACATTTGTGCAGCCTGCATTCAGTCATATGTACATATGTATATTGCTTTCCTTTGCTCTCTCTCTCTCTCTCTCTCTCTCTCTCTTTCACTCCTTTTTATTTTTGGCGTTGTCATTATTAATTTGTGTGCAAATGCAAATGCAAATGCAAATGGGTACATTATTAATGATCAGTAGAGTAGTGGGATTTGAAAGAAAAGAAAAAGGCAGATTTAGGGTTTTGGGTGATCAGAATTTACAATAGAGGACCTCTTGTTCTGGTTTGGATGACAAATGTTGAATCTGTATTCATGGGCGCTCTTGGTTTGGTTGAGCTGAGTTGAGTTTATAAACCGTGGTTAAGGGTAGGGTGGAGGTTGGGGTTAGCATTGAGAAGTGTGGAGCCAGCGGAGCATACTTAGTGGAGGGAGGAGATAAGGGAGAGGGAGGGGGAGGGGGATGGGGAGGGGTGGTAGTGGGAGAATGGCCAAGAGACAAGTGACGGATGGACGATCAAGACAACAAAGCTGGTTTGAGATGAAGCTCCAGCTGTTGCAAAAGTTCTGACTCTCCATGCAACTGAAATCAATGGCATTTTTGGGCTTATATAGTGGGCTCTGCTCTCTCTCTCTCTCTTCTTTCTTTCCTTGTTTCATGTGATGGAAACCAGACCAGACGAACAAGACCTCTACGTAATATACATGGTGGGGTGGGGGAGGAAAGAAGAGGAGAGTTTTGGGTGTAATACTCATACCATAGACTTTTCTACTTACTTTTCACATCAACCGCAAGTAATTAATACCCACGGATTCAGTGGTTTTTCTATACGAAGATGTACGTCTAAGGATTAACCTCTCCATCTGATTCCGAATTTTACGCTTGTTAGTCTGATTCGCGTTTCAGTGGGTCCTTTACTAGAGAATAGAGATTCTCAAATAATAATAAAAAGCACCCTCTTTTCTTTTTGCCCGTTATTACTGTGTACCTTTGCAAGTAAGCTTCCGCTGCCACCTGGACGGCATGCAAAGGTGCTCGTATTTGTCGTTGAATAAATGAAGCAATTAGCAATCTCTCTCTCTAGTCTACTTGCGGACTCCGCTCTCTGAATTCCTAACCTAAACGAAGACTTCAGTTCAGAGTTCAGACTCTTTTCTTTTTTCTTTTTTTTTCAGGAAGTCGGCACTAATTATTAGACTGGTGAATAACGTGCAATTTGCTAATATTCGCCAAAAATAATTTCATTGACGTTAAATTCTTCTTGTGTCTTTTCTTTGTTTTCGGGGGGCGGGGGATTCAAATTTATGTAGATATTCACTTGTCCGTGATCTCAGGGAATTTCCACCTTGGAATTGGAGGAGTTCATTCAATAAATATCCATCGACTCGGAGGGGTGACACATTTACACGCCTACCTCAAAAACAAATTGCTCAATACCATTATAACTTTCTGACGAAAAGTCCAATTCTAATAAAATAATAAGTATTTTAAAAAACAAGCTGCATTGGTACAACTCATACATACAAAGAGAGAAGAGAAACTCAACTAAATAAAAAATTTAAAAAAAACTACTACGAAAAGAAAAAAGATGAGTGAAATACCGTCCCTCCCCAGCCACCCGAGACATGTATGAACAAAAACGGGGTATTACATGGAAACAAGCAAGGGTACAGAACAGACCTTGGAAGTTACTTGGTATAGACTAGAGAACACGACATATTACAGCTTAGCTTAGGGCAGATGATATGATAATGATACTAGTATACCACCACCGCAAGTTTAAATCACAAACTACAGACAGACAGACATACTACGACATCATTTATCCTACACTCAAGAGTCCAGCCTCCTCCACTTTTTTAATTAATTCTTAATCACTCCAACTTGAGCAACCTTTCTTCTTCCTGCAGCTTCTTTGGTTCTGCCGGGAAGTATTTTATACCCACCAGATCCCCAACCCTGCCAAATACCTGAAAGAATCAAACCCCAACAAAATGTCAGGGCACAAGTTCTCTCACATTAAAACGGAATATTTGCAACTATAGCATCAGGAAGTTGCATGCACCCCAAGTTATACAACAACTTACCTCCAACGCTTTGAGCAGGTCTTCCCTTGTATGAGAAGCAGATATGCATATACGTGCCCTTGCCAATAGCAGCGGGGTTGCTGGAAATGCTACTGTCACAACAGCTACCTGTATGTAACAATAATCATTTAAATTTCCTTGGAACCAACAGAAAACTATAATCATGGAGTACAAGTTACAACTGGGCAGGATGGACTCACATTCTGCTTGAGGCACTCCCGTGAGAAGGCAGGAATTTTGGCTGGGTTGTAAAGCATAATTGGCATTACTGGAGAGTCGTTATCCCCCAAAACCTCAAATCCCATTTTCTGTAGTTCTGACCTGAAAAAGTTGCTATTCTCACGTATTCGTGCAAGTTTTTGGGCACCTACAAGGAAACAAAAACTCATTCAATGATGGTCATATATAGAAGAAACATTAAACCCTAAATTTGCTGAGTACAATATTAAAACACATTCCCAAGGAAACTAAAGAGAATTAAGGGGTGAGAGAGAGAGAGAGAGAGAGAAGTATCTATCAACACCTCTATTGGAACCATCCTCTCCAAGAATGACCTTTATAGCAGATATTATTTGTTCTGCAGCAGGTGGTGATATTGAAGTTGCATAAAGATGAGCAGGGCAAGTGTACTTCAAGTATTGGATAAGCTCCTGGATAATAACACCATCAGTAAACCACATTAAATTCAATAAAGAGCTCATAATTTATTTAAAATAACTTTGTAAATACACCAAAGTCTGCCTAGATTACACCACGCATTGTTCAACCAATTGAAAATATTAAGGACAGAGCAAAAAACAAACCTCGGATCCTGCTATATATCCCCCACATGATCCAAATGATTTGGTAAATGTTCCCATCATGATATCTACATCAGCTGTATCTACTCCCAAGAGCTCACAAACACCTCTACCTGTTTTCCCTACTGCTCCAATGCTGTGGGCCTCATCCAAATATGTATATGCCTAAGATAAAAGAGGAAGTGGCAAAGAATAAAAAGATTTATTACATAAATTATTAAAAATTCTTAGATAGTGGTTTAGCAGAGGTATTTCCCACTAAATGAGATAAGTAATACAGTTGATTAAAAGGAGGGGGTATCCTTCGAAAAAAGATATGTTGATTTTATTCTCTGTTCTTATGACAAAAATGATCAATAATACATTTGAGGCTCTAAGTTTTAGATAAAACCATAAGAATTATATCCTTCCTGTGGAAAATAAAAACAGACAGCACAGAACTCGGAGACCAAAGGCATATATTGAAGTGTGAAAGCTACCAAGAAGGTGCAACCTTATATTTCTTGCAGATGGCTATAATCTCAGGAAGTTTGCAAAGCTCCCCTTCCATGCTGTATATTCCCTCCACAATTACAATTATCTTCTTCCAGGGTCTGCGGGTCCTAGGTTGCCCCTCTGCGATTTGTTCTCTCAAAACTTCCTCCAAATGAGAAGGAGCTGTAAGTAAAGCAAAAAGTACAAATATAAGTGAACGACACCAGCCTGAATTTTACCATTTTCTTTTAATTTTAATGAGTAAAACTCAATACATGCTATCTTCAATATCTAAGAGAAGGAAGCCAACATATTGGAAAGTTGAGTACGAGAAACAGTCCTTTCTATTGAGTAGTCAAATACCTCCATAAACATGGACTACAAAAAGGAAAAATAACCAAAAACCTAACTGTCAATTGCCAGCAGCATTCCAATCTAGCCCCTGGTCTTTGCAGTTTGCAATTGAACATAAAACCAATATTTTCCCCACTGTTTTTTCTTAGTACAAAGAATAAACGCCATCATTTAAAAATCTGAAATGTGGAATTTGATGCCCAAATCCAAATCTCACCATCAATGCTATACAAGATAATAACTAGTGGGCTTACTATTGTGTTGGAAAACGCAAATACTAGCTCCAGATCCTCGTGCACCATTGACAATGGAGTTGTGGTTCAAGGAATCACTAACAATCAAGCGTCCCTGTAAATTCAAATGGCATAAATTTGGAAAAGGAAATTAAAGACAAAGTTTAAACGTAATTTCATTAACAAAGCATACAAACCTTCCCCATCAAGACTGGAAGGATAGCAGAGTTTGTGACATAGCCCATTCCAAAAACTATAGCAGCAGGTTTCCCAACAAAACTTGCCACACGCTTCTCCAGTTCATTATGCAAAACTGTGGTGCCTGATGAAAGAAGCGTATCATGGTAAAGTCCAGGAGAAAAATAATTTAAACAAAACCATCTTGCAGAGCCATATACCAACCGCCGTCAACACGGCTACTACAGGTACTGGGAGAATATTTTTTCAATGTCTGGATAGCACGAGGCGTGCAGTATTCATCGGATGCAGCAAAGCCAAGGTAATTGTAAGATCCCAAGTTAAGGCATCTACTGGTTTTTGTGGTTAGTCTGCATCAGCCCCAGCAGATGATGAGAATATAAATTAAGAAAACTTAACAAAGGCGTGTAATATTTATCAAAATTGCCAAATTCTTTACTTGAGTGTCTTGTTGTAGTCATTGGAGAAACGTTCGACCACATCAAACCAAGCATCAGGAGCACTTGCTATAGGTCTATTGAAACAGTCCTGGCAGTCAAAACTTTAAAAATCAACCAGAATTATCAATTATGTTTATGGGACTCGAACTCGAAGGAATTCATGTTTAAAAGTAATTGCAGTGCCACCGATCCAATAATAAGATCAATTTCATTTCATGCACAACATAATTTTATATAGCTCCAGCCTCAAGAGAAGAGAAGAGATACAAGACAATCAAAATCAATAACACAAATACCTGAATACGAAGATACAGCCGACGAATATAAAAATCTTCAAGTCCTAAACAGATTGGAGCATAACCCTGGCTTTGCAACAAAACAATCATTAACATGTATTCTGTACACCCACCCAAACTGCTGTTTTCTTTCTATGAAAAATTATAATATGAGAAAGAAAAAAAGGAAAGAAAATTATAGGGCCGTGTAGAAGAATATGGGAACCTGCAAATTGCTAGAACTCCACCAGTCGATGAATTTGCGGAAGACATCTCTGACTTGGCCGAAGACGAAAAGCAAGCCATAGCTGAAGTACGTGGTTAACGCTGTTAAATAAGGGATCGCAATCATTTCGGCGTTGTAATAATTATATGATCCAAAAACCACGCGTTTAACTGTTTGAAGCTTAGCAACGAGAACTGGATCGAGAATTTGGGA